GTTAGCGCTGCGGACGAATGGCCTGGCCGGCAGGGGGCGCAGGCTGAGCTCATCCAGCCCGCCCTGGTCCTGTCTGGAAAGCGCCAGGCCGGCCCTGGGGTGGAGTCGGAATGGTCATCGAGGTCCCTCGGGGACCCTGTGCCCGGATCACAGGGTGCAGGCGGTGAATTATTTGGAGAATAACGCCCACCCTGGCCCTGCCGGAGCTCCACCCTCAGCTGGGTCACCCACCGTCTCCCGGGGTATTAGAAAATAACTGCGGGAGGCGACGTGGAGGTGAGCGATAGGCTACCTTTGGGCACTGAACTATATCCCTAACCCTTTACATTTTAAAAATTTAAAATCCTGGCCCCTTTGTTTCGTTTTTGGAGACAAGGTCTCACTATGTAGTTCGGGCTGGCCTTGAACATATTACATACCCCAGACTGGCCTCAAACCATAGCAGTCCTCCTGCCTCCTAAGGAGCTAAGCCCCGCCTCCTTTTGGGGGGTTGTTGTTGCTAAGCCCTTTTAAATTTCAGACAGGTTGTCACTTAAATTGCCCAGGCAGGGCTAGAATTTAGATCTTCTTGTCTAAGCCTAGAGGGTAGCTGGGATTCCAGGCCTATGGCATCACACTCAGCCCAATTCACATTCTTTTTTTTTTTTTTTTTAACTCGGGTCCTTGTGCTTGCAAGGCAGGGTGCAGAATCGCTGAGCTAAATCCCCGGTTCTCATTTTACATTCTTAAATAGACTGCTAGAGAATCAACAGGATAGGGTGAGAGGGGAGCAGAGCTAGGAGCCTGCGGGAGAGCCCACGTGTGGGTGGCCAGGATTTAGTGGGAGGCAGTAGGGACAGAAAGAAGTAGAAATAGTTGAGATGGATTTGGAGAGGTAAAAGGGACTCCTTGGTGGATGGAACGGTGAGGGATGGACAGGGAGAAGTTCCTGAGCGGGAGGGAGAGCCATGTACTAAAGAGGGGAACCTGGCAGGAAAATAAGTTTGGGGAAGAGGACGAAGTTCCACTCGGGGGTTTACCCTGTGAGGTCAAGTTGTCACCCAGACCCATGGGTACTCAGGCCTGGAGCTCAGATGATGAACCCAGGCTGGAGGGGAAATTGAGGCATAAAGATAGTGTTTACAGCACTAAGCCTGAAAGGCATCAGTTAAGGTGAAAGTGAGGAGAAAAGAAGGCTCTGGACACAGCCAGGCCTGGGGCATGGGGGACACCAACACCTGGAGTTCAGGGTAAGAGAGGGCTGCCCAGAGGTAGGAGAACACGAAGAGGGACCTAAGAAAGGACACTGTTTCATGTCATCAGTTATGCCAGTTGCCTCTGAGAGGAGAAAGATACAGCTGTGTCAAAGAAGCTGCGTGGGACTTGTCAGAAGGGCCATCAGCGGGAAGGGGGGTCAGGGGAGAGCCCAGGCTAGCCTCAAACTGGCAGCAACCCTCCTGTCTCAGCCTCCTTCAGTGCTGTGACAACAGCTGTACACCACCGCGTCCGACTGCCCTTTTTATTTTGAGAGTCTTGCTCAGGTAGGATTCTAACTTATAATCCTGTCTCAGCTTCTCAAAGTACTGGGATTATATGGGTATGAACCACCATACCCAGATACCATCACTTCTGAGTTAAATTTTGAGTTCATTTGTTATATGAATTGTTTATTTGTTGTAGGTAGTTGGGGAATAAAACAGTGTGTGTTTTTTCCCTTCAACATTGTAATTGGTGAGATAAGAAATGCCAGGAGACTTGAATAACTCCTATCAGTATTTTTCAATATCACAGTTGAATTCTCTGTTCTCAGACACACCCTAATTTCTTCTTACAGAAAGCGGCAGTTCTGTGATGAGGGAACAGGTGATTTTACAACTAAATGACCCAAGCAGCCTCTTCGGGTGAGAACTAAGTAGGCACAACCCTCTCCTGGAGAGGAAGGACTTTGTTACCATGGTGCCATAGATTTCTCTTGCTAGGGTGCTCAGAGCATCTTTTCCCACACTCCCCTCTGCCCCGACCCTCTGTGGTTCAGCACTGACCTCCTGATGTGGTCAGCACGGTGCCTGAGATACGAGAGGCCTCCTGCCATGGCCATGGCCGGGCCAGTGAAATGGAGATTCCTGAGGTCCAGTGGGGGCCTCGGGAATTAGGTGATAAATATTAGCATTTAATAGTTAGGAGCTTTTTCGAGGAATATTTCATGCCCAAAGTCCTAGCATTCCTGGAGCAGTGGGGAAAGGACCTGAGAGTGTTTTGTGATGGCTTTGATTTCCATGGTGGACACAGTCATGGCTTCCATCTTCGGAGCTCCAGTCACAGGCCGTGGAGGTCAGTTATAAAGTCAGGCACTGGCTTTGCTGTAGTGTAACAGAGCAGTGAACGTGCCTGGCTCGGAAGTTGCCGCTGTTGCTGCCAAGGTGAACAGATGTCTTTTCAATCTCTCCAAAACTGATTGAAAATAAAGTACTGTGTGGCAGTTTTACACATTCCTGATATCTTGCTGTGATAGTTCACGCTTTATTTGTTTAATAGGAGATGTGGTTATATGCTAGTTAATTTCAAATACATGTATTCCACCAGCCACTTGTTCCACCCTTTATACTAAGCTTAAAGAGGAGTAAGGTTACAAGTTTCTGGACTTAAGGTACAAAGCTTTTATTGCTTCAGCAACCAGAACTAAGGTGATTTTCCCTTTTATCCACCCAACCCTGGCTAACTGTATTGTACAATTTCAAACCTACTGGAACGCAGAGGACCCCATACCATTTCCCATGGTTTGTTTTTAATCTCTACTTTAGCATGCGCCTTCTAAGGAAGATGACACGCTCTGCATAACTCAAGAAACCTGCCCTTAACACAGTGTCACCACCTAACATCGAGTGCTTAGGTGCTTTTCCAATCTTCGACTATGGATCATCTCTTGCTGCTGTGTGACATGAATATCATGTTGATGAGTCTGGGCAGGCTTTTGTCAGAATATCTCTATTTAGATTTCTCTGGTTATTTGTAATCAGATTCAGCTTACACCATGGATTACATCTTAAAGTAGACTTGAGATAAAATGTCCACTAAACATGTGATGGACCCAAACCTCACCATTGTCCTTTGAATGAAGATACCAGGGTATAGATTTTAGGTCTGTTATGCTCAGTCTAAAACTGGATAAACTGAATATTGCTGTGCTTACAGGTAATCCCAGCACACTGGGAGGCTGAGGCAGGAGGATCAAAAGTTTTATGTAACTGAGTTCAAAAGTCCTAGGTTCGGGGTGGGGGATATAGTTTGACAGTACATCATCTGCCTGGCAAGCATGAGGTCCTGAGTTCAATCCCTGGTATGAAAAAAGAAGAAAGAGTCCTAGGTTTACCAGGCATGGTGGCTCACGCCTGTAATCCCAGCACTGGGGAGGCTGAAGCAGAAGTATGAGGCCAGTCTGAGTTAGATAGCAAGACCTTGTCCCCAAAACCAAAACAAAACAAACAAAAACTGAAAGGAAAAGAGAGAGCCAAGATGACTGATGGAGGAAAAGAGAGGGCAGTGTGCGGCAGCTCCCCTGTATCCACACATCCCGCCAGGTGCAGATCCATCAACTCCTCCCGGGCTCAGCCACCCTGTGGCCCAGATCCGAGTGAGCCTCTCTTCCACAGGTCGGTTTTGTGACCTCCCTCCCGGCCTCCATCGGGGACCCTGACCCTCTCATCCCCTGCGGTCTGATCCGTGGCCAGGATGAGTTCCTCTCCCTCAGAAGGGTCAGGCGCCTCCAGTTCCCTTTACTCCACCCATCCCTGCGGGTCCACCTGCTGCTGCGTCTACACCTGCAGTGAGTGCACGGACCGAGCGGACAGGCACTGGCGCTGCACGGACTGCCAGGTAGGTGCCAGGTCATGGGCAGGAGGGGAGGGGCCTGCAGGTGCCCCTGCTGTGAGGGGTGACACAGAAACATTACCTGGTCTCATCAGGGGGGACAGCCTGGTCTCCCGTTGAGTGGCGGAGCTGAAGAGGAAGTATTGTTCTATGAAAAAGAGTTTGTCTAAGCCCAACATGGTGGCTCACACCAGTAATCCTAGCTGAGGCAAGAGGGTCACATGTTTGAAGCCCGTCTTGAGAGCTGGCTCAAGGACAGCCTGGACCATGTAATGAGACCTTGTCTCAGACAAATACATAAAAACAAAAGGAGCTTTTCTAGGCCAAGCAGAGTATCTCAAATGGTTTCAACAATTACTTCTTGCATTCACCTGCACCTCCTATGTTTTGCCCCAGGATTATGGCTTGTGTGTCTCCTGCTATCACACTAAAAGCCACAACCACCCGATGGAGAAACGGGGTCTCAGCTTAGATGATGACAGCAGCAACCAGCAGGCTGCGGCCACCCAGAGCCCAGGTGACTCTCGCCGCCTGAGCATCCAGCGCTGCATCCAATCCTTGATCCATGCCTGCCAGTGCCGCAATGCCAACTGCTCCCTGCCCTCCTGCCAATGGATGAAACAGGTTGTACAGCACACCAAGGGCTGCAAACGGAAAACCAATGGCGGATGCCCCACCTGCAAGCAGCTGATTGCTCTCTGCTGTTACCATGCCAAGCACTGCCAGAACAAGTGCCCTGTGCCGTTCTGCCTCGACCTCAAGCAGAAGCTCCGCCAACAGCAGCTGCAGCACAGGCTCCAGCAGGCCCAGATGCTACGCAGGAGGACGGCCAGCATGCAGCGCACTGGTGTGGTGGGGCAGCAACAGGGCCTGCCCTCCCCAACTGCTGCCACTCCAACCACACCGACGGGCCAACAGCCAGCAACCCCGCAGACGCCCCAGCTCATCCCTTCCATTAGCAGCCCTGGTGACCCTCCAACTTCAGCATAGGCTACTCAGCTACCCCACACTCTGCTGCCACTTACAGCAATGGACACCGTAGTGCAGACTCAGAAACAGTACACATGCAGGGCCGAATGTCCCAGGAGCAAATTTATCAAGGCCAGTTCTGCACCAGAGGCCCAAGATGACTCCTGTGGCTCCCCTGGCCTTGGACCTCCCTCCCATGACCAGGGATCACATTGGGCATCAGGAGGCAGGGGTAAAACCTACAGAAATGCAGCAGCAGCAGCAGCCCTCACTGTGCCCCAGGAAGACTGCTCCAGTACCAGCAAGGGACAATCCAGGTTGCCAAGGCCAACCATGATGTCAGTGGCCCAACACGGGCAGCCCTTGAACATGGCCCCACAGCCAGGATTGGGCCAGGTAGGTGTGAGCCCACTCAAACCAGGCACTGTGTCTCAACAAGCCTTACAAAACCTCCTGCAGACTCTCAGGTCTCCCTGCTCTCCTCTGCAGTAGCAACCCTTGTGCTCACCCCAAGCTGATGGCTACGTTTGCGAAACAGCGGGCTGTCAAGTCCGTGTGCCAACTCATTCAGCCTCTCACCGAGCACACCAGACCCACACTAGAGATGACACCTAGTATCCAGGAACAAGAGTTATTTTCTCTTAGCATTTTTTTTGTTTTGAAAACAATTTTTTGGAATCTTAGCCTAAAAGACAATTATCCTCGGAACCCAAGAACTGTGAAGTAGCCATTTGAGGTTTCAAGCAAACTTGCAAGGTGAACCTGAGGGGTGATAAATACCAAGAATGTATTTCTGCTCTGGCTGCCTCCCCAGTCTCCCTTCCCTGTGTTTGTGTTTTTAGTGTGCACTGGAAGGAGGATAAGGTCATGTCTGAAGGCTCCAAACGCGTCAGCCTTGAACTTCCAATAAGTTTTATTTTTATTTTTAAATTCATAAAAATACATAATAGTTATTACTAGTGCAGTAGTTGATATCTTTCCCTATTTTGCTTACTTAATGGAAGAGTTAAAATTTGTTAAAATCTCAATTCCTCTTCGCTGGGTGCAAAAAGTTCCTTCTTTTAAAAATATTTTTAAAAATTCCTTTCTTCCCCTGAAGACTTTTGCATGACAGAAAATTTTCTCTTCCACAAGTTACAGCATAAAATTCCAGTATTAAAATAATCTGTACAGGTACAAGGAAAAATTTCTTTCACTAAACCCATAGGGCCAGCCTCCAGGCTGATAGATCATACAGTGTAGTTTCTCTTTCTGGAAAGAATTTTCTTCATTATCTTTGCATTTAATGGGAAGCAAATGAATGAGAGGATAAGAAAGGACTGGGTGGGATGATTTTAACACTCGAGTGTCCCTGGGTTCCTCTGTGCTTGCTTTCTTCCTCCTCCCGTTACGGGTCTTGAGGGCACATCTTGGTCCTAGATGACACTGGTACTGGCCAGATGTCAAGGTGGAAGGGACATCAGCCATTTCACACCTCGACACAGGACCTTGCTCTGTGCTCCTCTGAGTGATGTCAAGCTCTGATCACCCTCGGCTCCCAGGGAGGCCGGGGAGTACCCAGGACCATCATCCTGCCCAGTCACAAGGAACTCCTGGCAAACCAGCACAGAGGCCAGGACAGTGTGCTCCTCCCCGGCACACTAACTGTGTCACCTGAGGGATCAGGGGAAGGGAAGTGTGTGCAGATAAGTCCTAGACAGCTGAGATGAGCTCAGGAGAGCAGTGTGTGCCGGGTGTGAGCACTCCGTGAATGCTGCAGAGGCCAGGAGCAGGGTTTAGAGCGAGAGCGCGGCTACTGATCATATTGGCATCAGCTGCCTGCCTGCCTTGCCCTTGTTGCCCTCACCATACACAGGGAGCACAGATTGGTGCCAGGCCTGCAGGAACACGAACAGAATGCAGCCCTGCCCGAGTGCAGCTGCAGATGCACTGGGCAGAGACAAAAACAGCAGTAAGCACCTGTGCCTGCAGACAGCGATGCAGCCAGACTGACCAAGTCCCAAGGGGTCATAGGGAGAATTCCATTCCCTTTCTAAGCAGTGCTTCCCAGATTTCAGAGCTGCCTCTGGCTGAACACTGCTGGGCTGGAGGCTCAGAGTAGCACGTTCTCACAGGGCTGTGTAGGGCTGTGTTTATGGCAGGACCGGCACCTGTGCAGACCTCTCTTTGTGTGCCAGTGAACACCTTCCTCAGAGTGGGCATTGTGAGCATCCGCCAGTCGGCTTTATCCACCCAGAAACGTCACCATGGCAACCACCATTGTTCCAGAAACACAATCAGTTCCTTTAACTGAGACATCAGAATTCCCAGTTACATGTCTCCTGTTCCTTCCAAGAGCTTTCTAGGAGGTAGATCTATCAGTAGATAGGACAAAAATTACTATTTATCACCTACACCCTCAAAATAATTGTAGAAAACCCAGAATGCATCAGTTGGAAATTTAGAATAGAATGAAACTCGCTCAACTACCTTCCAGTTTTGATTCTGCCTAAAGGACTCTCAGAGTTGTTCACCGCATGCCAGAAGAAACATTTAAAATAATAACACTGCGGTGCCATGGTGATGGTTGTTGCTAGGAAACAGTCGTTGCAGCTGGAGAGAGGCAGATTCTGCAAAGCCTTGTGTCTTTACCTGGGCACAACTGCTCTGGACTTGATAAAGCATTTGTGAGTCAGAGGATGGGAAATAAATCCAATTAAAATTCAAGGGCCCTCTCCCTCAGTGAAATTTCTTGGAGTCCAGTGTGCTGCAGGCATGCTGAGATGGGCCCTCTAAGTGGAAGGATAATTTAGCTGCATCTGCAGTGAGTCCAGGCTGCTCTGCCCCTTGGGTGGCGTGACCCAGGAGAGCTGATCATCTGTGAGGAGTCATTGGCAGAAACGATGTTGTTGGGAGCCTCCAAGAGGTCCCCACTATGGAAACCCTAGCATTTTTTTTTTTTTTTTGAGACAGGGTCTCACTATGTAGTTGAGACTGATGTGGAACTCACTACATGGCCCAGGCTGATCTCAAACTCACAGCGATCCTCCTGCCTCAGCCTCCCAAGTGCTGGGATCACAGGTGTGCGCCACCACGCCAGCCTCCCCTAGCATTTTAAACAACGACTCTCTGTTTGAGAAAGACCTTCTGGTCTTCTGCTGGCCCTTGGTGGAAGGACACAAAGTCAATGTGCAAACTGAGCTGCCCCTCATGAGTTCATCCGACCACTGAAGCAATAAAGCTGGACCTGCACAGCCACAGCTCATCGCCAAGTGCTCACAATTCCTCCTCTTGATAGACAGTTTCTGTCCCTGGCCTCACGGCACAGTACAGACGAAGGAAAAGATACAGGTCCTGGCTTACAGATGGTTCTGCACATTCTTCCTCACTGCTGGGACTGAAAGTGAGAAGCCATAACTTAAAGGAGAAAGGTTGATTTTGGCTGATGTTTTTAGTCTATAGCTGGCTGGCTACAAGATATAAAGGCCCGGCGGAAGGGCCTGGGTGGAAGAAAGCTGCTCACCTCATGGTGGCCAGGAAGCAGAGAGTGAAGGGAGAAGCCAGGGAGGGAGCAATGCCCTGCCCCTCACAACCCCAAGGCCTGCCTCTTCCAGCCAGACCCCACCTCCTAACACCCTGTCACTCCAGCTCCTCCAGGAGCTCATCTTTGCTCAAAAGCCCCACCTAGGAGTGTGGGCTCATGCACAGAATCAAGAGGCATTGAGGCGCTTCCTAAAGGTCAATGGAATAGATAATGCAAAAGACAGCTATAAATGGCAGCTATGACCACGTGACCGGTTACAAAGACAAAGGTTACTGTGGTCCTGGGTATTTCTCTTTCGGTTTGTTAATGTGCTGTGTGCACACACACACACACACACACACACACACACACACACACACATGTAACTCAGTCCATGGACTTAATTTGTTTCACGATCACGGGGAAGATGGCCACGTTTGTGTCTGTCACCTGATGCAGGGTTCACCAGCGGAAGCAAAATTTTGCTCAATGCTTCTGTTCACGAACAGGACGGAGGCATTGCTTTGTACGAAGCAGGTGCCTTTGCTTTCTTTCTTGTATGAATATGCTACATATCAGAACATGGATTGAATTAATATCTGCACCGGAATATTGTTACTTCCACATTATAATATTTAAGTTTTGTCATCTCAGGAGAAGACCATGACAAACAAATTTTGCCTCCTATTCTGTGGAAGGAATTAGGGTGTTTCCAGTTTTATACAGGGTGGTTGGATCACGTTAGAATTCTGAACCTATTAACTTTATTTGGAGGCTAGAAGGTTCAAGGAGAGGTGTTAAGCTGTCAAACCGACAAGGGGTGGTGCACTGTGACCTTTGACGGAAACTGGAACCCTGACAGGATGGAGAAGCACACAGCGGATGAGCAGAGCACGCTTCTGGGTGCATCTGCGGGGCTGCTCCACAGAGGATGGTAACAGGCGGACTGAGGGGAAGAGAAGGCCTGGATGTGAGGAAAGGGGAAGAGGATGGAGGAAAGCGTGCAGTTCGGAATTGGGGAAGCTCTGCTCCGCTCATCCCTTACTCCTGCCATCGCCTGTGGACTGCACACTCCAGTTCCGTCAGCCTCTCGGTTTGGACTCAGCCAGCGACTATGGTGAGCCTTTATGGTGAGCCTTGACATAGGCACAGCCATGATTGAACTTTGAGTCACCTCGCCAGCACCGACATGCTGTCGCCCATAGCAACGGGCTAGTTCAACTGGTGGTCTGAGCTGTTGCCTAGCACATGTAACCCATAATACGTGTTTTGTAGAACCTTGTGACCTTTGCAGTCTGCTACACCCTGTTTGCACTTTTGGTTTTGGTTTTAGCCTATCTATACCCCACCCTGAAAAATAAACAGGGCCTTGCTACGAAGAGAGCATGGAACTGAGTTTGTGAAACTGTGCTCTCCTGTTGTTCTTCCCTCGGGTTTGGGACCTGCTGGCAGGATTCTGACATTGCGGCTCCCGACAAGCGACTGCCCGCAGCTGCAGGCCTGTCTCCCCTCTTCTGGGGCTTCCAGCTTCCGGAACACAGCAGCTGCTGGGTCTCCTGCCAGCCTCTGCAGGCTGTCCTGCCCCGGTCTATCAGCCCGAGTAACAGCCCCCTGGCATAATCTTACATATATATATATATATATATATATACTTATAAAAGTATTCATAACGTATACACCTGTTGATTCTGTTCCTCCAGAGGACCCTAACCAATACACGGTGAGTTTACTATGAGGAAAGGACAATGATGCTGAAATCGAAAGTGCTTTACAAATTGCAAAGCACCGCTTACATGTTTATATCAGTTATAGTAGTCTCCAGCCGCTGTGAGCAAGGAGAAAAGTGTGACCTCTCAAGACCAAACCCATTCCTGATTTCCTAGCTGCAATTACTGCAGGGGTGTCCAGTCATCTCCATCCTGAAATTTCACAGAAGTTTCCAAGCCTGGTTCTCACAGCCTATGGGCCTGGGCCAGGAGAGAAATTTAATTTGTATGTAACCCTAAAATAGAACTTGTCCCTACTGCCTCCTCCCCAGCTTTGGGAAGAAGGGCAGGGTTAGGGTTGGAGTCAAAAACCATCTCAGAAACCTTGGGTGATCAGAGGCAGGGGTTCAGAAGTGGGGAAGATCCCGGGGCGCTGACCTCACAGCCGCCTGTGCTGGTGGAGGTGGGGCCGAGGGAGGAAGTAGGTCACTGGGGGTGGCCCGTGAAGGGGGTGTCTCCTCGGACTCTTCCTGCTCCCTGCTTCCTGGTTATCAGGAGTTGAGCAGCTCCACTCCCCGTGTTGTTCCTGCCTTGGAGCCTGCGGACCTTGGACTGAAATGTAAGTCAAAACCAAAATTTCCCCCATAAGCTGTGTCTAGGGGATGTGGTTCCAGCAGGAAGAGCTGACCAGTCCAGGTGGAACCGCACCGCACCACTAGGTGCTCGGTCGGCAGTGGTCCTGGGAGCCCAGTTCCCTGCCACCCGCTCCCCTGTTCGCATCCAGGCCGGGAGACTTTGAGGTCCTCTGGGTCCCAGCCTGGGGCCCACTGCCCTCGGCGTGACTGAGACCAAGACAGTGTCCCACCACCAGGGTCGTCCACAGCCCAGCCCGGTGCAGCGGTCTGGCTCCTCCTCCTAGCAGTCTGTGTGTGGCGCCGGGACCCGCAGGGCCGGCCAGACGGGAGCGGGAGCGGGAGGGGGTGGGGGCCTCTCCTCTCCTCTCCTCCCCTCTCCCTTCCCCTCATTGCCCTTTCCCTCCCTTCAGCTCTGTCTGTCCCTTGCTGTCCGCCGACCTGGAGACACTCAGGCTGCATCCCGCCCTCGTTCAGGCCCCCGGGCCAACCGCACCCAGCCCTCCCTGGTCGACCCCGGAAGCGCCCCTGCCGGCCCTGGGGTGGAGTCGAAATCGTCCTGGAGGTCCCTGGGGGCCCCAGTGCCAGAAACACAGTGCTCACGCGGTGAATTATTTAGAGAAAAACACCACCCTGGCCCTGCCAGAACTGCAGCCTCAGCTGGGTCACCCACCTGGACCCTGGGGTCCTAGAACATGATGGGGGGAGGCGACATGGAAGTGGGCAATGGAGAGACAAACCAGGCCGCAGCCCCTTTAGCAGAGAACTAAGTAGGCACAACCCTCTCCTGGAGAGGAATTTGGTACCGTGGCGCTGAACCTTAGGGCGCTCAAAGCATTTTTCCCCGTAGTCCCCTCTGCCCGGCTCTGCCCCACCCTCTGTGGTTCAGCCCTGGCCTCCCAGTGTGGTCAGCAGGGTGCCTCAGATAGGAGAGGCCTCCTGCCGTGGCCACAGCTGGGCTAGCGAAATAGATTACTTCTTTTCTTTCTTTTCTTTTTGTACTGGGGATCTTGGGACCTTGTGCTTTCAAGGCAGGTGGCAGAGCCACTGAGCTAAATCCCCAGCCCTGAAATGGAGATCCCTGAGGTCCAGTGGGGGCCTCGGGAATTAGGGGATAAAGGTTCGCAGTTCACAGCTATGAGCTCTTTCAAGTAATATTTCATGCCAAAAATCTTAGGGTTCCTGGAGCAGTGGGGAAAGGCCCTGAGAGTGTGTGGTGGCTCTGACTTCTGAGGGGGACAGGTTGGATGGCTGTCATTGCACAGGCTTCTGAAGTCCGTTATAAAGTCAGCCACTGGCTTTGCTGAAGAGTCCCAGGAGCAGCAAACACGCGGCCCCTGTGCCCCATCGCACAGATTTCAGTCTCCCCGAATGATCGGAAAGTGTGCATTCGCCAAGTGTGGGGGCGCAGGCCTGTCATCCTGCTCTTGGGAAGCTGAAGCAGGAGGATCAACAGCTTGAGGCCAGCTGGGACCATACAGCGTCACCCTGCTGCAAGAAGTAAAATAAGATAAACAGTGGGTTACCTGGCAGTTTCATGCAGGTGCCTTGTATTTTCAAGTTTTAT